CAGTATCAAGACAGCTGTTGATGAATGTCTCCAGTTTGTTGAAAATGCTTTCCGTAACGCGCCAAGTTTCTGAATCATCACATGGAAGCACTGACTTCACGCTTTATGCTGAGTGGAGTGCAGCAGATCTCCACACTGATCTCCATACATTAATGCACGAAGGCCTGTTCTGTTGTCTTTCCGATCCTGGTTTCGACATCCTCGTCTGTGTCTGTGCCACCTGTAGTCGAAACGATGCTGCCTCCTCGATACATGGGTATGTGAAACAGACTAATTCCTTCAGGTTTCTTCCACTCATGGTGATTGGTGATAGGTGCTTCTTGTTGTTGATGCTGTTGTTCGTTGGGTCTCTTCATCAACTCTGTATTCTTCTTCTCTACCTTCACTTGAAGTACCATCTTCGCTTCACTGCCTCTTCTGTCAACTTGTAAGTTCTCGCCTGTACATCTTCGAGTTTATGCAATGAGGCATCAGACATAAATCATCATCGATGACGAAATCCAAATCTCCTGGTCTCCTTTCATCTGTCCAGTCAGCGTATGCCCATCTCCACAGAGCTCATCACTGTTTGCTGCATGATCCAATCCACCACAATCAGGAAGATCATGGTTGATAATAGGCAGCCACAATGTCTTTCTCCTTCATGTCTTCACTTCGAAGGCATCACTGAGCTTCTCATTGTGGATCACCCGACATGTGGCCTTTTCATATAGCTGTTGAATGGTGTTGATGAAGAGTTGTGGCACTGGAATCGTAGTGTTGAAGCCACTGCCTGTCCAGTTGCTTGTCGGTGGATGCTGTGGAAGGGTTTTTGGAATTTGATGTAGTTGAGGTAGAGATTTGACAGGCATTCTATACTCTGTTGTAGTGTAGCGTTGGAATTTGATCCACACATGATTTGTTCTTCCTGGATGCAGCCAGTTAGCCTGTTCCGGTGGTAATTTTGAATACAGAGCATTTTTTAATCTTGAAATAGTGGAGAATATTTGTAGCTCAGGTGGATGGTCTTCGTTGTATTGTGTTCTTTGAGCGAAGTTGTTTAATCGTGAAGCTTTCATCATCCTTCTAGACGACATCATCAGCAACACTTATTTCAATGCATGTGGATAATTATGGAGATGAATTCAATTTGGACAATGTAGAAATTTTGGACAGAGGAAACACAAAAACTCTTAGAGTATTCCTAGAAGCTTGGCATTCAGGTCACTCAGTCAGCAATCAACAGACGCATAGATAAAGACCCAATCTATCAACCAGTTAGAAAGATGATAAATGGCAGGAAGGTCAGGGGTCAAGCAGAGAAACAACCAACAGGAAAATCTATGGAGTCAGTTAATGACACAGTAATCGAAGGAAACAAGCTTCGTCAAGACAAGCTACTTAATCAATCACGGAGAAATACTGACAGCTCACTTCATACTGAAGTTAGTGCTGATGATGTTGTCTAGAAAGACTATGAAAGCTTCAAGATTAAGCAACCCAGCGCCTCAGAGAACACAATGCAACCAAGATCTTTTAGTCTGTCCAGGATGATGCGGCATAATATTTTGCTTGCTTCGGGTGAACAGCAGCATGATTCCGGGCCAGTTCTTGCTGTCTTATGTCTCTCTCCTTTGGGATTTTGACGAGGTACCCCTACCTTCAATCTGCAGGTACCTTTCCTTCTTTCAATCCAAACCTTCTGCACTAGTGATGTGAGTATGTCCGCTGTTGTCCTTGCGTCTGTTTTCAGTGCTTCTGGCGGAATTCCATCCGATCCTGTTGCTTTCCCGAAGTTCAGCAGTTTTATGGCATTCAGGACTTCACTTCTGCTTTTGTCAGAGTGCTTGGGTTCACTGGTTCACTGTTCTGCCATTGCTGATGGTCTATCCAAGTACTTTTTGAAGTGGCCAGCCGATTGTTTCCTTTGTTTCTCTTATTTGGTAACTAGTTTCCCTTCACTATTTTTTGTTCAATTAATATATATTAGTTGATTGGAGGAAATCTGTCTCAAGTTTTCAGTCGACATTTCGTAACCGTTGGTACTCTTTCGGAAAGTATATCTGCGACCCTCCAAGAAATTGATTTCCTCTAAGACAACCGATAATGCTTCACCTAAGGCTGCAGTTAGAAATGTAACCAATGAGCTGTTCAGACCATAATTTAACTAACGTTTATTCCTTACTTTCTTTTCATCATATATTTATATGGTGATAAAGTTTTCAGTGTAAACAAGCGACTTGTGTTGTTACTCTGACCTATCATTTAATTATCATGTATTGTCGTCAAATAAATTTAAATGTATTCATGAATAGATCTGAATTCTCAAAGTCTTCTTAACAAGTCGTCCACACATCCATTATTTTTCGGTTGTGGAGTATCAAGGAGAATTCAGTAGCTTACCGGGTACGTGAAGTACGATTGACGCCAAGGATAAGAAGTCAACGGTTTCAATGAAGCATTTACTTAGAAATAATTCGGCATTAATAACGCTGATTGGGAAAAACTATAGCAATTCCCCACAATCTTATAAATTGAAAACATTTGTCTCCTTATCCAAATTTAAAATAAACAAGGAATGTGAAAAAAGCTGGTTGAAGCTAATTGGCATCAAACTGAGGTACAGAGCTACTTGTAAACTGTCTCTTATCTACCAGTTAGCATGAACTTAAGTATACTACTATAGTGAGTTGGCAACATTCAGTCAAAGTGTACCTTCATCATAATATATCCCTTTCCTTGATGAATATTTTCTTCATTTCGGTGGTATAAATTTTCATTTAGAGAAACGAGATGCCTAATTTCCTGACAAGACAATAGATAGTCAGCATGATTGAGAGAAATCATTTTTTTCATTATTATTTTAACATATTTTAACTCGAGAACTAATCATATCCTGAACAAATGACGATTAGTAACTACCGGCAAAAACCACAACCAGCGTTTCATCCAATTTGAAACTCACTAGATATTTGGCTATCTCCAACTGTATTATTCAGCATAGCATACTGTCAAATAAGATCAGTTTAGCAGCAGCGGAACTCGTTCGCAGTCGGGCTTTCATTGTTTAAACGCTAGACGATGAACTAGTGGCTTTTTCTGAAGTTTGATATATGGGAAACAAATTTACTGACAGACGTAAATATTCAACTGTTGAGAAGAAACCTGTTTACCTCGTCTACAATTCAAAGGCAATGAAACACCTAAAACTACAGACAGATGAATAAAAGCGTCACTAAAGAGTAGCTCCTCTGCTCCCACACTCCTCTCACTCTACAATACATTATGCTCAATAACACAGTCGAAAATAGACAAATACCCATCTCACATCAACTCAAACTCTGTGTATATCAATCAATTCAACTGTACTTGTGGAAGCAAATAAATTGGAAGGATCAAAAGATGAGCATCAACTTCATTTTATTATCACTTCTCGAGAAGTCTGTATCTGGAAGGTAGTAAGGTCTTCCATCTGCACAATTGTTGAGCATCCAATAGAAACAGTACACTAAATAGACGTTTCTCAATCATTCAACATAACCAACAAACAAAGAAGGCCATGCTTATTACACTTTGTGGAAGCTTTATCTACTGCACATATTCAACCTGACCCATGTAGTCAGAAAGAGGCTGTAATTAACCTTCCTTCACCCCAATAACTGCAGACAACATTTTGTATATGTGCGCATACAGGATTCTTTTATTTGGTTGCACCATCTCTATTCACTGATTACTTACTGACTGTTAATCACTCAGTCCAACACGTTTTCCCAGTTGTTTTATATGATTGCGTAACCTACTAGATCAGTAGCAACCCTTTCTTTCACACTCCTGACAGTTTGTTGTCTCTCATTCTGAATAAATCTAGAATTAAATTTTGAGGGGGTTGTGGAGATTTGGAAATATTCCAAGTTGTTATTCATCGAAGACTGACATCAGTTGGAGGAACAAAGGAAACTTGGGAGCACTGGACAGCTGGCTGTTTCGTCCTAGTATGGGACTCCTCAGCAGTGCGCACCCACGACCCCACTAGCAGGGGTCGAACCCGCGACCTTCAGGTTCCGCGACCAGCGCGTTACCATTGAGCCACTGGGTCACAATCCAATGCTCCATATTTCCAACTTCTGTTAGCTCCTTTGTTCCTCCAACTGATGTCAGTCTTCGATGAATAACAACTTGAAATCTAGAATTGTTTCTTTCTCATCACATACAAATTGACATTGTTCTTGAATAAGGTTTGTGATTATTAACCCTACATTTCCATCTGTAGGTTTGTGTGGATTGATTAACTGATTTAAGTCTGGAGTTCAGTATGGGTCGGCATCATTCAGAGGAACATTGGAAACCTGGAAACACTGGAGAGCTGTTCCATCCTAGTATTGGGAATCCTCAGCCAGGGATTGAACACAAGACCAAAATCACAATTTGACAGAAGTAGAAAACTATGAACCATTGAAATCGTACCCAGTGTGTCGATGGTAACGTGTTGACCACAGGAGCTGGAGGTGCTGGGTTTGATCCGTGTCAGTGTGGGTCATGTATGCACACTGCTGAAGAGTCCCATACTGGGAGGAAACAGTTGCTGAGTGCTCTCAGGTTTCCAATGTTCGATCAGCTGATGTCATTCCTTGATAAATTCCCACCTAAAATCTTGCATTTCTTCGTGTCACCCACTGACAAGGTTATTATTGATCCTGTGTTTGGGAGCCTCATTCATTTCTGCACATTTAAAGTGTGTTACGTCATCAGTACTACTACTGATATTTCCTTTCAACTGTAAGCTGTTTGCAGCTGATGAAAGTCTGTGAAACAGAATGAGCTCAGTTTATTCTGTAAATCTCTTTATTCTTTCATTGTTCATATAAGTTTTAGTTAATTCTTTTCAGTGATTGATTTACTAATTATTATTTAGAATGAGTTGGTCAATTGTTATTCATCACATCAATTCATTATATATATATATATATATATATATATATATATATATATATATATATATAATTTAGAATATAGTAGAATTATTATGCCCAAGGCGGTGACAAATATGACACTAATTCATTGTCATTAAATACGGAATTCTTCGTCTCTGTTTCAATGACTAATTTCACATCCATCTTATTATTCTTTCTGATCAGTGATAGTTGAAGGTTAAGCATAAAGTTTCTATCTAGAAAATTAGATTGACTGATTCTTAATTCAGATGGTTTCAATATTATCATACGAATAGAAGTATTTCTTTTTATCAACGATTTATTGTAGGTATAATAGTTCTAGAATGTGAAGACAATTTGATTCTGAAGTGAAACGTTAAAGAAGGAACATGTTCCCATACTTTATGGATAGTTTGAGCTGCCAACAGGTCAAGAAATCAGCTGAAGTTGGCAGAACAGTTCAAATACATCAGGCATCTAAGTTGATATCATCTTTGCATAATACAATCCTACTATCAATCTTAATTAACAGGGGTATGGAAAGCCTGTTCACGTAACTTGTGTTATTACACAAACTTTTATGTCTCCTTATTTACTCAAAATTTGCTCAGTAACTTTTCTCACGTTTGATTAGTAGACAAGAAGTTACACAGTTTGTATAAAAGTTAATGATACCTACTTACATGTCAAAACTTCTGTAGGTACAGATGGGTTAGAGTTCTTGAAGTACTATTTGGAAAACAAGTGCTTAGACCAATGAGCAACAGCTCAGTTGTGTGCTTACTGTTCTGGTGTAGATACCTTTGAAGTTGATTATACAGTTAAACGAATAGGGGTTATTTCCCTTTTATATCCACTATACAATGCTAATTCTAAACTTATTTGTCGATACAGTTTGGAAGTTTCGGAGGTTTGTTTAGTGATTTCAAGTTGGTATTTAACACTGATCAAAATCAGCAGCGTTGGACAGCTGTCTTATCCCAATATGAGACTTTTCAGCAGTGTGCAACTGTGATCCCCGTCAGGAATTCAACCTATAACTTGTAAGTTATACGCTTCCTGAATACTGACTTGGAATCATTCATAAATATCATCAGACCACAAACATCGTACAAAAAAAACATTTCCAATAGCGTCTGAAGTCACTCACCTCCGTGGTCTCTTGGACCTCACTCAAATAGTTCTGATGCACCAACAGATGCCAACTGGATGCAACTATCCTTCATCCCACAGAGCCACGTTGTACACTCACCACCCCTCTACTTCTTCCATCCGGTCTCAAACTCAGGGCCAGCAAACAATGAATGGTATGGGATCTGTTGGGACGACATGAATAACACATGTCCAAACCACCGAAGACGGTGTTTCCAGATGACTTCACTTGTTCAATGATGATCTCATTCATGCCAAAACGCACGCTGCCGCACTTCAGAATTACTTGTATGGTATTGCCGCCAACAGATACGAGCAATCCTATGGAGACAACAATAATCGAATACACAGAGTCGTCGCACGTCCTCAGGTCGGAGAGGCCAGGTTTCACAGCTATGGCGCTGAAGCTACATAAAACCCGACCCTTTTACAGTCAGATAAACGTAGCAATAGCGTCACAGCTGGCTTTCGGTAAGCAGTTAGAACTTTCATAACTCACGTGTCCACCAACGCTGATACAACTACGCAGATACATGAACAACTTTTCGACTAGTTCCGACGGCTCACCACTACGGATGAGTGCAGCCAAAGGCTGCTGCCAAACTTGCGAAAGTACTTTGCACTTTGATGGTGCAGTTGGCATACCGTACTTACGGACACTAACTGTCAACTAACTAGGTGTGTCCAGAAGACTCTGCATCTTATCAACATCGTCACCTTACATGATTATATCATCTGCATTCTGTAGATTTATAAAGAATTCCCCTGTAATAAAATCTATCCCTGTGAAGTCAGATGATAAGTAGGGGACCTGGATAAATATGTGTATAATGTGACTGAATAAAAATGGAGACAGTATAAATCCTTGACAAACAGCGCTCAACTTACACAACTCACCTGCTAACTCCCATAAGTTCTAACATGTGTACGGGTGTTTGAGTGCAGACCCCTCAACGGAGCCGTGTACTTACTCGGAACCCCATTCAGTGAAGACACTAACATTTCTCAGCCGACAGAGTCGAGTGGCACCTTCAGATGAGAAAAGGAGAGGCTAGCGTCGAGTGCCGGTAATTGTATCTGTGTTCCAGAAGCTTACGAAGGGCGAATTTCTGGTCGACACACTAACAACAAGATCTGAAACGTGACTAATTTTCTTGAGTTTTCTGTTACTGACGTCAGTTAGTTATAAAACGCTGATTCTAAGGGCACTATATTCATCAGGCTGATTCACTGTGGTCATCAGAAGAATATTTCTGACCTATCTTGAAGTTAGATACGATGCGCAATTGAAAATGGTCAGAGGGTTTATCACTGACCTCAGTTCGCTAGCTAACACTTCGGTTAATCCAACCCAGTAATTCATGATCACTGCCACTAAATGCCTGCATTACTATCCCGTCTCACGCTGTTACTCGCTTCAGCTTATTTACAGCCTTCACAACTTTCGTAAGGGTAAGAGCGGCCTGTAATTCTACTCAGCATGAGATCTGATTAGATAGCCAGCAAGAGGATAGTAGCTTGAGGTAGTTGAACCATCCCCAATGTTTGAAGTCACCATCCCTGATAGGAAATCTCAAACCAATTTCTCTTTGCTATTCCTTCACTGACCGCTAACTCTGATGTTCCAGTTTTATTGACAAGTGTAAACAACTGCCTACTGTTATCTATCAATGCTGCTTTTTTCATCTCCCTAGCTATCACTATATATGACTGCTATAGGTCATTGCGTAGACTTCTTGTCAATCCACATTTGAATTGGTTCAACTCTTCATTGAGGATGGAACTTGTAGAAGTGCCTTCACCTGTTTGCACTAACTTAGAAGACTTCGGTGAGGTGAACTAACACTTTTTGACATCTTTCTGGGAGTTAGATATGGATGGTGTTTGCTGTTGACGGTGCCTAGTTTTCCCTGGATGAGTAACAGTTTAGCCAGTTTTATGTTAGCAGATGACCCATGTCACAATTTATCATTCACCAAAATAGTTAAAGAGAATAGTGAGAAGAAGCAGACTGTCTTGAAACTTCTACATGGTGTATTAAGTCTAGGGCAAAAATGATTCAAAATCTGAATCATATCACTCCACTTCATGAGAAAATTAAAACCAATACACTACCAAAGAAGGTTCAAAGCGTTTTTGTATACCTGAAGAGAATATGAATTCACCGATGGTGACAACTTTAATAAAGTTAAACACTTGACCGTGACTAATTTTATGCTATACTCTAAAACCTGTTTTCTTCTCCAGACAATCAGAATTGGCTAATAGCTAAACTAGTAGATATTGTTCATAATTCTGGTTGAAGACAGAAAACATCTTAACACGTGAACATTTCAAAACACTCAAAGAATTACGAAATTACTCTAAAATTTTTAAACATAAATCCGATAAGGGATTAAGTTTAGTCGTTATTAAAAGGATATGATGGGAACAAATTTATATCAGACATCCCCTTTGAAGAGTGAAGGGGAGAGTTAAATCCAATCACATGAAAATACTTAGGATTAATTTAATCAATAAAGATTAATTTTGTTGTCTCAAACGTATAGGATCTGAAAAATCCCCACCTAACAATCTATTATGTTCTCAATATTGTCTGCTTGTCTATTACTCACATAGAATCTACCTGAAGGATTGGTGAAACCGATGAGCCATATTAGAAGCCACCTATACAAATTCTCATTTAAAATTTTTTTTGGCCTAATGTACTGATGATAGAGATCATTGATACTTTATCTCACTACATGAAACAATTGATACCTTTAACATATTTCGATAACACTACTAAAAGACGATGATCATTTGAAACAGTATGACTAGTGGACTTGCCTAATACACATTTCGAACAATCTGATCACTTGCACATCTACTTCTCAAGTCGTCAATTCATATATGAAAATGAAGAGAAATAGGAAAAGTTAGATATAATGAATGCGAGAAGGTTGTGACATCAGTCTTGCTAACATTATCACATTACTGAGCATCACCAAGGTGAACTAAGTGAAAGAATAGATTGTATTGGTATATACAAGGGGGGATCCACTTTACGAATAGATAAATCTTCAGCAAATTTCAGTATATGCCACTGACTGTTCCTATATAATATATAAGTCAAGCAAAAATCTTGATGATTGAAGTGAAATAAAAATCTGGTCAACAGTTGGACTTTGTAGCTCAGTTGGCAGATCACCAGGTCTGAAACTCTATGGCCACTAGTTTGAATCTCATCGCAGTCCAAATCTCCATGTCACCTTCAATTATCACCCAGTATCAATATCTTCAATGCTGTTTCCATACTGACTTTATGATTCATTTCAATGAAGATAGATATCTGTCATTTGGTCTTATCAACGTTTGTAGCACGCCTCCATTGCACTCTGTTCTCTGAAGTTTTTTGAACCTCGCTATACGACTGCTCACAACCTTTCATTTCTTCCTCACGTGACCTCCTCTGTGTCACCCTCGGATGCCCAACTCTTCGTTTCCTATTTCGATTCCACTCAACGACCTGGTGTGTGATGTCCCCAATTGGACTTCTCAGTGTATTACCAATGCATCTCCACTTCCTTCCAGTGCATATTTGTTGAGTGATAGGACCTTGCTTCGTTGGTTGGTTCCCAGAGTTCCTCCTTGCTTATTCTTTCTCACCTTCTCATCTGATCTTCAGTATCGAGTGAGCGTAGGTGGCAGCTGTTGATGAATGTCTCCAGTTTGTTGGAAATGCTTTTCATGACTCATCAACTTCCTGAACCATCACATGAAGCACTGACTTGACTGACGTTGATGTTGAAAATCTGGATCTAGTTCACGCTTTATGCTGAGTGCAGTGTAGAAGATCTCCACACTGGTTTCAGGTTAATGAAAGCCTATCTTGCTGTGTTTCCTATCCTGTCTGGCTTTGACGTCCTCGTCTGTGCAGCTGCCACCGCCTGTACTTGAAACGATGCTGCCTTGCCTAGATAGATGTAGGTGGAAGAGCCTACTTTATTTAGGTTTCTCCCGTTAATGGTGATTGGTGCTTGTTGTTGTTGGCTGGATATCTTTATCACCTGCGTGTTCTCTACATTCACTTGAAGTCCCGTTTTCGCTGCCTCACCTCTTCTGTCAACTTGTTAGACTCATTTAATAGGATCCAACTTATTTGTACATCTGATACAATGGATGATGACAGGAAATTTCTGACAGGC